TTTATTAGCGTTTAATAAACAATGCAAATGTTGGACTTACTTGTTAGAAGTTGCAGGAAAACGGAAAATTTAAATAAAATGTACGTCGCTTGTGTCCCGTTCACTGAGTGAAAACAAACATTGAACTGTGAATCGTTTTGTAACAAAAATTTTATAGTCCTATATAATCCTTATCATTGGAACGTTATCAAGTTGTACGCATATAAACATAAAACCGATGCAAATTTAAACTGAATTTAATGGAAATTGGAGCTGTAATGGACCCATCTAATTAACAACAATTGTTTTAATTCGTTCTTTATGAGGAGAAGGGGAGAGTTAATGAATTTGCTGAAACTAACGAGGAAATTTCATTAAGGCCACGGAAATTGGACGTTTGGCAAATGCAATGCCAACTTTTTTGTACTTCGTTAACTTTTCTTTTTGCTCCAATTCTTCGTCCTTTTACAACGAGATTACCGTAGATCCTGTAACGCCCTCGTACATTATTGCAGTTTGTAATTTATTGTTTCTTGATTTATTGATATTGCATTATAAGTATTTATTGTACTTTCAAAGCGGCAATCGCTATTTATTTTATGTTACTCATACATTATTAGAAACATTTAAATAGCCTTCAATCACGCAGCATTTAAAAATTGAATACATATATTTAGTAAAAATCTTCTTTTTTTTAAAAAACAAAAACACGTTATTATTAAACAAAAAATAAACTGAACGGAAAAACCTACGGTCAACAGCCTTATACATTTTTATTATTTGTTTATTTAGCCATACAAATATATTTTTATATATTTGAAAGTCACTGCACTAAATCAGCAATTAGTTTATTTGTTACATGGAAATAATTGATGTTCGATTTAAGTAAATATTATATTTGATCCTACATTACCCACGGTTGCATATTACAAATTATCGAGAGAAATAAAATATTTTGTTTATTATAAACACTAATAACAGCAGGAATCAAAGTCTTCTCATTATATCAGCAAGGACGCATGTTTATTGATATGATTAATAAGAGAAATCTCTTATAAATTAATAATATTGTTTAATGAACGCTTACATAATTATAGAATAGATTATTTAATTAAGAATAGATGATTCAGTTAATTTGGTGATAACTCTGTAAATTATCAGAATAACATTAATTCATGTACATAGAATATATGGAATAACAAGACGCACCTTTTTATATAGAATATTTTCACATAATTTAATACACAAACATACATAAAAATTAATACAGTAATATCTATAATAAATCGACTTCGATCAGCCCGGATTCACGATAATTTTAATTGAGCAAAATACAAATAAATTTTATATATAAGAAACGGTTTATTGTTATGCAGTTTTAAAGTCCTCAATTAGTCCGGTTACAAACAGTTTGAAATATTGGCTCAACCGTTACAAAGAGAATAGATCTTCTCATCCTTATTTATATACTATATAATATGAATAATCATAATTAGCAACTGAATTAATTAATTTAATTCCTAAATAATATTTTTATTAAATATAATTATGGATGTCCTGGTATAATTACGTTATTAATCGATAATTATAATTAAATATTAAAATGTTGTTGTTTTCAGAAGTATACTTACAATCGCTTAACGTTCCAAAATTTGCGGATTTTGACTCGTATAGTGAAACAATTTTACCATATAAACTAAAGTAATTTTTCTTACAATTTATTTTACTCGTTATGCGAGGTTTCCACTGTATATTAAATGTCATGTAATATTTGAACCATATGTTAAAAGCATTGGATATATTTACTATAAGTACTACAAATTAAATTACTTGTGTTTCATTGATTATACTAATTGATGCATTGAATATCTTTAAAATATATAAAATGATTAATTTATGAATTATAATACTAGTTAAATTACCTTAGAGAATCGGTCGAATATGAAGTTAAACATGTTTCTTCTATTCACGACAACCTGTTCAACGGATGACACCGAGCGTTGTGTACACCTTGTATTTGTTGTGGGTTTAGGAGATGCCGTTCAAGGGATGCCTCCAGGATGGATCTGGCTGTAGTGAGTAAATCCCGGTGGAATCGCGCAGACGATGTATGTGGTTCGCGATTTATTCGGTCGTGTCTCCCTGGATGTAGTGCAGCTTCACACAAAACAGTCTGCACCGGATCCACAACAACATTTGTCCCTTTCGCTCCAACAGATCCTTCCTGCTACATGCCCTGCTGCTCCTGTTTATTCCTCAAAGCGCAAACGCCTCCGGTTTCTCATTGTTTCGCCTTTCATTGTAAACGTTCCATGGATCGTAATTTAATATTACGACGGCACTAAAACATCATTTTCCAGTCAATAATTTTCGTAGCGTCTTCATGGAAATATACATTAAATTGATCAGTAAAATGAACACATAAAAAATATGCTTATGTAAGCATGCAATGCAAAACGCAATAATTATTTAAACGTCTGGAATAGTTTGAATCCAATTAAACGTATGTTCAACATACCGCATAATTATACTTGCAACGACATACCAATAAATTAGAAGAAAAAAATGTAATACGTTCATATTATACCATTAATAAATTGAAATATAGAACAAACTTAAAATTATTAATTTCATTTATGATATATTATTATTTTTATTTATTTATTTATGTATAATTGTTTCAGTAAATATTGTTATTTGTTTAATAAACAAAGAAAAGTTAAAAAATGTACGCCCAAGACGTTGCGTAATACTTTAGGAATATTAGAGCCTGACTCACGGGAGTCAAATTACCAATTATAATAATTGAAATCGATTGTCGACTTATACTTACTTATACCGCAAACGTGGTTCTCACTCTACTCAATAAAGTAAAAAAATATGTAAAATTGAAATTATTTGTAACTCAAATTTGCAGATTTATATAACGGAATTTTTATTCCGATGCAAAATTACTTCGTTAAATAAATATGTGGCGTTGCCTTAGTAACTTTATTGATATTCATTTTGAAAATGTTAAATAGGGTATATTGATTAAATTAATAATTTATCGTCAATTACTTTGATAACCAATTAAACGTAGTAACATAATATTCCATATTAACGATTACATTTTTAATTTAATATATTTAACGTTTAATATCTACTATAATTATAAATGAGTATGTTAATCATATTCACATATTAACAAAATTGATAATTATTTTCTGATTATTATAATTGTTTCCTCGGTAGAATTAACTAAATTTGTTATTAATATTTTCGATAATTGAATTTTCTATTATGAATACAGCTAGGCATAAACAAGCCATGAAATCAATAAATACGTTAATAACCAATTGGATTTGCTTAATTATGAATGTGCGGTTATCTTTATATTTCCAGGTATTTGTTTACTTTGAAAATCATCATTATAATTTTGCATGCGGTTAAAACATAAATTTCGGTGAAAACCAATTTGCGAACATTATTAAATGTCAAGTCATTTTTGTTTTATTTCCATCATGATATTATTGTTATTATTAATCATTGGCTTGTGTATCCAGTCCCAATAATTAAATGTATGAAGTTTTCAGCTATATGAGGATTACAAACATAATCATGTGAAAATAGCACACGTGCATCGCGCATTCTCTACTACTCATAATACGAAAGGAATTTGGAATTTGAGCTATGCCAAACCTCCGTTGATACAATTTTTATAATTCCGAGCTAACAGGACAACAGAAACGAGAGAGTATCCACAAGAATGTCTGCTATGTGATAGATTATTAAGAAAGTGCTGACATCTGTGATATATTTGGAAATCAGAATACAGCTTTCTTTACGATTAATGGTACCATATCCAATATCATTCTATAGACAGTACACTTTTGATTTTATTATTTAAAATCATTAAATTTCGCGAATAATAACAAGAATTTAATATCTAAACTATATTAACAACTAATCAGTATACTTGGTTGCATACGCTCAATAAATGCAGCTTTGTTTCTGAAGCTAATTTAGTTGCATATATTAAATTCGACCATTTTGTTTTTAGTTTAGCCTAAGTAGTTAAACTTAATTTAAATTATTTAATAGTAACTCATTGCACAAACTTTTAAAATAATTATCATGTTATGCAAGATAATAAAAAAATATATTTTTGTGTATATAAAAAACAGTATTGCGAAAATTATTCCTGTGGGATGCTGCGTCCTAAATACTTGCGCTTGCGTAAGCATTTAAATTTGTAGAGATTCGAACGTGGCAAGAATATAATTAACTAAAAATTAAATATTTCCTTTAACAATGATTTAAACAAATATAATATTACCAATATCATATTTATTAATATAAAATTATGTATCAAAATAAATGAAATACATTGTAATATTAATTAACTTCAAAATCTTGTAAAAATGTTCATTTTGGAGACAAATTTTATAGTACAGTTTGTATAGTTCAATATAATGGTTTCGATATATTTAATGATGTTTATAAGAAATATAAATTATCGGTATTATTTACATTGTAGATATTATTAGATATCGTAGTAATGTTAATTGATACTTTAATCATTTGTACGATTCATAATTTAATACAATCCTTACTTTTCTATAGAAGAATATTTAATTTTACTTTCTTAACTAAATATGCAGGTGAAAATTGTACAATTTCTAATACTCATGCAACTTAGAGAAAATTGAAATTATAAAGATTTGATTATTTACAGGACAATAACAATACCAATAACAACAATAACAAATAATTAAATTTGAATAGATTAACACAGTAATTTAATTGTATTTCTTTAATATTCGATTTTCTGAATTGTTTAAATATAAAAATGTATATATATTTTTATAATATGTATAATATTATTAGTTTAAATAATATGAATTTATATAGTTATTGATTAAATGAATTCAAAGTTTACATAATTAATAAATAAATATGTTTATATAAGAAGAAAGTTTAATAGTAAAAGTGGAACATATTGCATAGTTTTAAGTTTGCGGTTTAATAGAAATAGTGTAGTTTTACAACGACCACAAAACCAATAAAGAATCGATATATGTAAGATCGAAATCCGAGGTATATGTGTGTATATGGAAAGTTGGAATAATGTAGCTAGTTTACGAGTTTGGGTTTATTTTCTCTGTGTGGAATGTAATTTAAAGGCATATTTGTGGGATAGCTGGTGATAGTATTAAGATGAAATCAGGGTTTTAAGGATGGTAAATTGGGGTGTTATCCCGGTCCCATCTCGTCGATAATGGAGAGGCGAGTTAGGCCGCAGAGAGCCGCACTCTGCCGCTCGTTCCGCACCGCAGTTGTGTGTAGTACGTTGGTGGAGTCAGTTGTTCGCCATGCGGGACCTGGCCAGCAAAATGGCAGAACTAAAGTTTGAAGCACCTCTCGCACAATTCGAGGATGGTGACGATTGGGGATCCACAGAATTCCAGACAGCTGCAAGCATTAAAAACGAGAACGAAATGAACATGCTGAATCTGCAGATGAAGAAGAACAAGGATCTCAACGACGTTTTGAACGACTTCAACGAGGACGTACTTTTGAATGATAACAGCATCGAGATTTTGGCTCCAAAAACTGGTATCAAATTGGTGAACGGTGACGGTTCCGTCTCGGACAACTTCACTGAAACGTTTTCCGGGTCCCTGGAGGATCTGGTCAACACCTTCGATGATAAGATCACGAAATGCTTCGGGAACTACGAGGAGTCCGTGGAGAAGCTGGCTCCTGTACAAGTTAGAACTCAGGAGGAGATCATGAACGAATGCCAGTAAGTAATGCAAACAAATATGTAATATTTATAGTAAAAATTTGTTGCTAGAGGATTTTGGGTTGATTTTGTTTATATAGAGCGGAGCGGAGCGCTTGCGTGCTGTTTATTGCCGACGCTGAGGGGTTGCACATTTGAAGGGGACGTAAAATCAATACCTTTACATGTAGGGTGTGCGTTTCCAACATCATCCTTTAATGAATTCACCCCAGGCTTTCTCTTCCCGCACTTGTTGTCCTCGCATTTTTCTTTTTCATTACGCAATGCACCCCAATGCATATACCAATATTGTTACTATAAACAAACTTCGCTTATCTAAAAGCAGATGTGACTCATAATACTCACAAATTTGGAAACTGGATGATACACCCTATTTCACATATCTGTTAACAACCAATGACAACCTACAATACGCCTATTCGACATTTGCTGATTGTCCATTAGCTAGTTTAATTGCGTTTCAATGCTCAATTAAAACGCTATCATGAATATTCAATCAAAATCGACATGCCATACTTTTCATTAAAACAAAAGGGAAAATCGTTACGTATTTATTGAAATGTAATCAGTACATTGACCTTTCATAAACCCTTATATACAGTTATCATACAAACTACACGAGAATATAAACCTTTCATTCAAATACGACTATTGTATATATATGAATATTTCTACAGGCTCTTTAATTTCCATTCTACATCATGTATAACGACGAGCACAAGAAAGAGATGAACTTTCTCTTTGTTGCGTCAAAGATGTTGTGTAATAAAATTATGGGGATATTAAGAAAACAGTTCGAAGAAGCCCAAACAAGTAATTGAACACACTTTTTTTGTATTAGCTTCCAGTGCACGGATTCCTCTTGAACGTTGCCTCTTAACGCGCAGCTTGTAATGGAATTGTTTTGCTTCTTTTCTCAAGTCTCGAAACATTATTTATAGCTATTTTTATCCGATGCAAAGCAGTTATGCTCCAGTAATGTTAATTAGAATATACACGCACCGCATAACGATCGTTTGCAAATGAAAACAACAAACAATATCAACATTTGCGCGTCTTGCGATCGTTCATATTAATGTAAATCGATAAACGAACAATTTTCTTTCCTACATTAAACACAAATATTGACCATGCAATGCTTTAATAATCTCTGAACTTAACGTGACATAATCTTAGAAATAATGTACAAAAAATGAAGCGCTTATTTTGATGAAGGCCGACACAGATGCAGTTTTCTTTTGGATTATTATTCAGGTATAATTTACCTAAGTGCGTCAAGGGAATACAACAGAGTAAAAATATCGATCGGAATATTTAATTCCCTTTCGGCCCCAACGAACTAAATAGAGTTAAATTGTGCGCCGCCACTTTGTCTACGGGGTCGACCTTTTGAAAGAGCGAACAGGAAGGTTTTCCCAGCCGGAAAAAACCTCTGACCTACTTGGATCAGCCTTCCCTCGAATCTACATCTACGAATCACAATTGCCTCCGACTCGCAACTGGAAATTCGCACGAATAGAATTTATTTTTATTAAAAAACATGGTGATGAATATCCAAGATTTATATTAAATGGTGAAAGTGTTAACTGGACCAGATGTATGGTAATGTAGCTACATCATCTCTTATCTTGTTCTGAAGGTTGAACAATTTAATCTACAAAGAGAAGTCGCTTGCTAAGAGCGATCCTTCGACGCGCAGAAATTCACGACCTGCAGAGGTCAAGTTTGTCCGGTTTATCTGAAAGTTTTCATCGAATTGCATTAAATCAATCGGGTGGCATAATGGAAACATCAAGAACTCTCGACTGTTAGTACTAACAGCGAGTCAATACTGATAGATTTATTAATTCGAAAATGAATGGAGCTCGGATGCATTTACATAATGCAGGTAATTTTATGTGGTTGCTGCTGCTCAAAGTGCCAATGACGAGTAGTTAGAACAGATGTTTAGTCGTGGTTACAGAAATAGCTCTCTTTGCTCCCACAAAAGACACAAAATTAATTTGATAGTAAGTGCACCGATTCCCTACGCACGATTTACATTCCGTACACGCCACCCGAAAAACGAGGCAAAAATTCGAAAATTTATTGACCCTAATTGACGGTATTTGCATATCCAGTTACAATATCCAAATGCGGTATCAATTCGTATCGATATTCGCAACGACCTAAATCGTATCTTATTTATAAATTTATTTATGCAGCTTGCGAGGGGGACATGGCCTTACTGAATACACTAATATCCGACATAGTTGTAATCGTCATACAGGATGTGCCAACAACTGACGCGTCTTCCTCATTTACTTTTGAAAACCGGAAACTGAGCATGAATCGCTGCACGAAATTCATTTCTCGCAATCGGAATCAACGAGAATCTGGGATATCCGCGCAGTTCCAAGCATATATAATGTAAGCACGTAATTTAATAATGTTGAAAACGAAACTGCATAGAAGAGGTTTTATAATACGTTTGTCTTTTGAGGCATGTAGTATTGTTTAGTTGGGTGTTCGTATTTGTTTGAGATGATAACGGCAGAGTCGTTTACCTTGGAGACTTACCGAGCAACGGAGCAACCATAGGGCATTACCATCGGTGTCTTAGTAAAAACCAAAAGGGAACAATAAAATGAATAAAGGAGGAGCGAGTGAAGAGGAAGTGAGCGAAAGGAGAAAGACGTTCTCGTTGCTGTTCCGAGATTTATCGTTGCATTGCGGCCAAAGAGATTTGTTTAATGGTTTACAAACGGAAAACTGCCAACGTAATACAAATAATTGCACTGTATTGCGACGGTTCAAAATATTATTTCCCTTCCTCTAATAATGCAATTCCAGCTACATCGATAAATAAATGCATTTCCACTCTGGTTTTCCCTATTCACACATTTCTGTAACAGACATTGGTTAAGTATACTTAGTAATAATTGATATATCTACTAAAATAATATATATTCATTAATCAAATAACAATAATTAATATTATTTAATGTGTATTTTATTAATTAAGATACAACTATAATGAATATATTACTTAATATTATACCAAACTGTGTTAATTTACAATTTCGTTATAATTACATCATTCATTAGGAACAATTGATGACAAATAAAACGGAATATGTTTGTATATATTCGACCAAACGATAATAAGCATGATAAAAAAAATGCGTCACATGAAAGCATAAACCACTATAACTGTATAGACTTTTTCGTTGATTCGAACACTTTTCTGGAGGTCGCGACACACATATGGTAGCCATATTTTTCAATTCCATAATGATAAAGACATTTGCATGTAATGTTTAATTTGAATAGCAGGCTGCTTCATTTGAAACGCTCCTCGGGTCCGTTCTAAAAATGCTCTTGGTAAAAGACAGGAGAAAAAATATATATAAAAAAAAGCTACAGCAATGGAATTAAAAAGGATGGAATACGAGGAGCATGAAAGAAAAGGAAAATATTTATTGCAGACCGTTCGGTATTTCGGTTCGGAAACTCGAAACCTGTTTGCGAGACAATTTTTAAAGAGTATGAAATGAAATGAAATGGACATTTCAAACTTGCACGTCCACTATATGTACATGGATATAATAGCTGGATTTATGGTACTTAGTCCATGTAGGCAGTAATCATTTGTTTATTAAGAAATTCATTAGAGACCTTCTTCGACTGCTCCGGTGTATTTGCATACATTAAATCAAACATAAAATAATGCTTACTTTAGATCTGGTTTTCATTTAAGCGCAAATTAAATATGCTATGTGTTTATTTATTTCATAGACATGGATAATTAAAATTTTTAATTTTTTTAATATTATTTTCGGTTATACATGGATGCAAATTGCAGCAATTATAATAATTGATGCTTAACTAGAGTAGAAAACATTGCTACATTGCTGAATATTTCACACGTAGATGCATATTTAACCGAGAAGCAAATTTCTCAAAATCCACGGTCATTCTTCTGCTTTTGTGTTTTTTTTCCTTTTATTATATTATTTGTAAACTATGAACAAGTATTCCTTTTAACTGAAAAATGTCCTGTGATCTTTCACAGAATCTGTGAAGATTCATTCTGACTAAAAACGACTGTGAGCGCACTAAATGCGTCAAGGTATGTATAAAGTATATTTAGAATCTTCGGGTCCTTTCAGAGTACACACACACACTCTGGATCGAATTATAAAATATTTTTGTACGCTTTCGCAGTTTGCTGATCAAACAAAAGTTGACAATATTGCGAAAGCTCGCACGGAAAATGTTCATTGTTCGGTGCTCCACTTTCCATCACACTTTACCAAATCCACATTTGCATTAGAGATAAATCGAAATAAAAACAACAATAGTCAATACTGTTATAAAAATAATGCGTAATTAATTTAATTATACTGGAAATATTTGGTTTAAGTAATTACTAGCCGTGTTGATTTATTCAAGCAACTGCAGTTAATAAGGCTATTAAGAAAACGTTTACTGTATTTAAAAATACGTATATAAATTGGTGTTTTTAGAATAACGTGCGGCTATTATATGGGTTTTATATAATATAAATGCTTTCTTATAGTTTCCGGTATTCTACCTGCTACAATTGTAGTTTGAGGCCTATTCTTGCATTTTCCAGAAACTTATTGGATTTGCAGAATTCATTTTTCATTCATTCACTGGGCATTCTGTTTACTTTTGTAGTTGTATGAAAAGGGAGCTCTGAAAATGCCCTTTTTAGAATTTAATCAAGTTGGAAGAATATAGCTTCGTTAAAAATTAAATTCCACCCGTAATTGCGCCTGTGGGGGTTTAACTTTATTACATACTTACGACAACCCAAAGGAAAGACGACGTGTTAGGAACCCCCTGACAGCGACTCCACGGAACAACATTTCACGCTTCAGACGTCAAGACCCCACGTAGCATTTAATAGGAAAATACGATCTTGCAGCAGACAAAGAATTCCACTACTCCGTGGCCGTAAAGTTCACAGCGAGAATTAAGGGATTTTGTGTAGTTGTAGAATTGTGCAATAAAATAGCACTTCAAATTTGAGAGAAGCATAAATATTGTTACTAAGCTACATGGATTGTGATTATGCAAACGCAAAGATCGTAAACATGTTTGTTCAATAAATCTGTAGAGCTTACCAATGCAGACGTGCAGAAGGTCAATTTCATAAGTATTAAAAAGGATACTTTAATGTCATCCGGTGTTTATAGAAATTAAGCGCATTTATGAAAGGACTTGTTAGATCTGCTTTATCTTTTCAAATGTAAATTACAAGAGTAAATCGTTTAAAGCCTACACAAAGCCTTTTTCAATAACAACTATATCTATAACTGTTCATATACGTTAGTAATGCGTATGATCGTATATGAAATCGTTTTATATATAATTTTATGTTTTTGTTAATAAGATTTTTATGGATAAACATATTAAGGTTTAACATTTGCTTTATATTTATTTGTGAGTGTCTATTTTTGGAGACGGCTTTATTATAAAGTACGCCCTAGTAACATATAAACGAAGTGTATACTGTATACACATTATTTTCTGTATATATCGATCGGATATTTATAGGCTTTGTAAATCGGGAATATTTTAATCTGACATTTCCACGATATAATCACGCTCGTTTTATGTATACAAATGTTCAAATTCCTAATAAGGTTTCTACTATATTTCGTCGACTTGCTAAAAGCAGATTTGCTAATAACAGTAATAAAAATATGGCGCAGTTGCGAGGTTCAACCTTGCCACCCATCAGGACTCAGTTTTATCTCAATTCAATTGAAAACCGGGCACGTTTTGTAACTGAAATTCAGAAATAATTAATACATTTTTTTGTCCATTAAACCTTTTCAACTTGCATATCCATTAGCAGCAATTAAGAGCATTACCCGTCTCGCGAAATATTTACTCAGTAGGATAACAAACCCATTATGAAGTTATGGTCATTCTAATTATAAGAAGTTTTCAATATTTACTAAACACATAAATATAAGTTGGCCAATATTTGCTGTTGAAAGCGGAGTTGTATAAGAAACAGAATGCTCCTGCATTTTCTTTTTTATTTGTGTTTAATTAGCATTGCGCAACTGTCCATGGGCGAGTTTTCCAAATATGGTGTTTCGAGTTACGCAATGTTCTCTCAGCGTGATATAAATAAAGATTTGCGTTTTGTTGTTAAAACTCGCGCCTGAGAAAATTATTATGCGATTGTGGGTATTGTTGAGTATTGATGGTGGCGAAGGCCCGAATAAACTTGAAATCGGTGTCAAGAGCGTTTAAACGCGGTCTGGTTCATCTTTTGCTCCACGGATTCTAAATGATGGTTGCTCCTTCTCTCTCCGTATAAAAACATTAAGGAACAGCTTGTTATTTCATCTTCGAACCGTTCGGTCAGTTTAGGCAGGTAGAAAGACAATAGTGAAAGGCTCAGCTATTTATTATCGTTAGCCAACGATCGGGTGCCTCTCCGGCAGGTGTTTATAATCCCTCGAGTAACAAGAGTAGACCGCACAGATTTTTAAAATACTTGCCTTTTTTCATCTTCTTTGAATATCAGTCTACAAGTCTTTTAAACATATTTATAAAAACATTTTTAAATATAGTCGTATGATAATTATTACATTTTGAACAGCCTTTGTATGTGACATGTTTGTATACTGAGCAGATATGAACTATCGCAAAGATACAAATAAGTGGAATTCGGATGAATGCTTATACGTTTAATATTTAATGTCAATTACTTGTGTAGAATTAATTAATTATTATTTTTAATGCAAAACTGACTTGATTTTTTTAATTTTCAGGATGTGGTGGACAATCACTGGCAACTTCGGAAACATCCTTCCAATCGATTGGTCAAAGTCGTACGCACGTAAACTACATATGCCCGCTTTAAATTTAAATGAAAATAAGGTAAAACTGAAAACCAAAAGGTTTATTGTATGGGTACAATATTACAATATTTAGGTAANNNNTTCTTGATGCATTTCAACATCTGCATTAAGTATTGATCAATTTGCGCCCGCGTCTTGATGGCGCTACGTTTCTGTTTGTTTCCTCCTTTTTTTTTTCTTTCTTCTCTCACTTGGTAGATTCCCAATTCTTGCAAGTCGAAGTTCCTGCGGCCTAAGGTAATTGGATCAATTCCAAGTTTCGATGTAAATTCAATTGATTCCCGAACTTCAAGGCCGCTAACTTTGCGCGCAGAGCGTTCGTTTATTTCTTTCTGCGAAAATTTCCTGTAAACAATTTAACGTCGACGTCAATTTGAAGCAATTTAACAGGCGAATTTATTTTTTGTTGAATTTATCATGCATGCGACGGGTGAGTCACGCGGTTTAATTGATTAATTCAACGCGTTTCAAACGGAGGGGCATCATTGATATTGCGACAAATTAATGAATAATCCGCCATATGCTGATCTGTTTATTTATGAATGGTTTTGCAGGAGCCTTTGACTCCCGAGGACGAATTAGAGTTGAGCTCGGAGGACGAGGCCGTAGCTAGCGATTTAGATATGCACGCATTGATTTTGGGCGGATTGCACCAGGACACGGAACCTTTGAAAACTGCAGACGAGGTTATCCAGGAAATCGATGACATCATGCAAGAGGATGACTGCTCTTTGGACCACTCACCCGGTTCCCACTCATCTCTGAATGATACCAACGAGACTCTAGAGAAAGCCAAAGAAGTCTTGAGCACTCCTCTATATGAAGATAGTACGAACACAAATTACCATTTAAATCGATTTCCCTACATTGCATTTTATATTTTTTAGAATTACGAGACTTGAGTTTATCCCAACTAAATGAATTATACTTGGAGCTAGAAGTTTTAATTAGAGAATTTTCCGAAACGCTTATTTCCGAGTTGGCGCTGCGCGATGAGCTTGAATTCGAGAAGGAACTGAAGAATACGTTCATATCTCTTCTTTTGGCCGTGCAAAACAAACGTAGGCAATTCCATGTAGAGAAGAAAAGAAGTAAAAGCAATACTGTTCGTCCATCTAATGGTCCAGATCCTAAGGTAAACAACAATCGCAATACCAATTATCTCTAACAATCAAATTAATTAAATTCTTTTAATTTTCAGTATTTAACTACAGTAATTCCGTATCATTTAGACAGTGGCCCTCCAAACAATCAGACTCTGCAAGTTCTAATCAAGAGTAAGCACGTACATTTGAAACAATTACAAAACTAACTGCATTTCTTTTCAGTTTTGAAAGCTATAAATGAAGATAGCCCGACCGTACCAACTCTTTTGACGGATTACATTTTGAAAGGTAAGAATTATCGAAATAGAAACCCTTCATCCATTTTCTTACATATATAATATGTTTCAGTTATATGTCCAACTAAGTAAGGTCCAGTGTTTTCATTGTGCACAGAGGCTACGTAAATTAAACTAGCTTACAGAAAAAAAAATACAAATAATTAGTGAACAACTAAGTAAGAAAAAAAGGAAAAGCTTCAGCATTTATCAAAGCACATTCGATTCGTTGCAAATATTTTCTTTTGTTAATTTATTATAATTTTGTTATTATTTGTTCCTCTTTGTTTTATTGAGTAGTACTGATGTAAATATTTATTCGCTGAAGAAGTCTAGTCTAATCTTAAAGTCTAGTTAACTAGGGTAATTGCCTGTTTCCAAAAATTTAAAAAAAAAAACGCATATTTTTTTTGGACAGGACGATAAAGGAAATCAACTCCTTTCCTTGCACAATATGTTTTGTGCTCACATTCGCTATTTGAACGTAAACAATTTCTCGTATATATATATATTTTTTTTAACTAATTATTATTATGTTGTTTTTATTTTTTCTAATTCAAAGTGATATTAGCTTGTATTTTAAGGATGTATTTATTATTGCAGATTAATGTTCTTGCCCTGCCCTACATATATTTTCCTACGTTTTACTTTCTAATCCCACCCCTTTCATGATTTTGTCGACAATTTAAATTTTAAGATTAAATAATTAATACAACAAAAAAAATATTTTAATTATTATTAAAATGGATTAAATCAATTAATTGTGTCTCTTAAATGTTACATATTTCAACAGAAAGCTGTTAATATGTAGATCTCGAAAATAAAAAACCAATAAAATACAATTTCTTTCTGTTAATTATTGAATTATACCCATGGTCATAGAAACACATAAATAATGTCTATATAGATCGATAAGTACGGTTTTACTTAGGCTAAAACAAAGAAATATTTAACATTCTGAGATTCTAATGAACAGACTATTGTTGAATGGTGTGCTTAATATTAGACTATGATCAATAGTTGGTTATAATTAACTTTGGATGCTGTGCTTCAATTTTTATTACTATTTTTAGTCCCGTACATGTCACATCCAAAAATATATACACAGATTAATATTGATGTTAAAATAGAATATTATACCTTTGATATCTCCATAGAAAAAAATCAATGACATTAATCAGTGACGCTACTGTGCACAGCTTTTGTAGTTTACTATTCCCGAAAAAGGCGACCTATGAACAATGTGTGTAATGTTTCTATTAGTTTTTAAGCTTCTAGTATATTAGTACATCAATTCATTCATTAGAAGAGTTATTTACAACGTATGTAATACATTAGTAGTATAGTACCAAAGGTGGCCGATTATATTTGACTGCAGAATTACACATATTAATTACACCATACAAATGTAACTTCATTCCAATGATATTTGAAATTGGATTAAAATGAAATAAAGATTGCATATATTGAAACTAATGTGTGTTAATATTTCATTAATTGAAATATTTCTTCATAATCGATTCATGTTCTTAATTACATACATATTGTCTATCTAATTTCCGGTTGATGAAAAACATATTAATTTTAATTGGTTGTTTATCAAGTTTATTGCAAGCATGTACTTTAAAGTGATTTTTACATTAAATAATTAAATTTACAAATATTACAATTTTTATTTTGAAAATTTCATTACTTATCAATCTTGCAAGTTAAATTAAACATTTTCGGAATATTTTAGAATAAAAATGATGTTGCTGTCTGACAATTACAATTTTTCTACGCATTTGTAACGTTTCCCATCAATTTTTTATTATTGGAATTATTAATTTTCTGTTTGGATTATTTCGATTCATTCATTGCTGTAATAAATATAAGCATAGATTAAAACAATAATGCTTGAAGGACAGTCGAGGATTAAGGATAGTATATAGTATAGTAAATGTCTTGGTTCGGGGCCTCATTGTCTTAATGGATAATCCTCTACTATGAAGGATGTACAGGATTTCTGAATTTGTTAAATCTTCTTTATATCTTTAAAAATCAGATTTAGCTAATATTTTTCAAGAATATAAATTTCTAAAGTTTTCATAAACTATATAATTTTATTTAACGTATTTTCGTAAAACGTATATAAATGCAAAAAATTAAATATTTTTATAAGTCCTAAGTTCTACATACAGTATATAATACATAGATAAAAAAATAAATTTATACATATTTACAATAAAACAACATAAAACAAAACTTCTTAAATTAAAAGAAATGCAGAAACTTAAACAGATATAACTAGGAGCTCTTGAGGAGCCACAGCCGATGGAAATTGTTTGATATATCATGTACTTCTTCAGGCCTACAGTCCATTTGACAGTTATCAGTGGAGGGACTAGGGGGAGGTTGTATTAAGTCCACATCCACTACTTCTGAAAGCTGTTCACTTTTCCTCTTGTGCCTGCGGTTCTCTGAAGATCCACCTTGTTCCAAGCTTTGTCTTGCTCTATATATTGGTTCATATTCTGCTAGTTGTGCCACAAAGCCCTCATTGGGCTTCACAGATGCCCTTCTTGTCTTGACAAATGTGTAAGCCTCTTTGCAGGTCAGTCCAAATTTTTCCATTATATAGGCAAGTACCAAAGTGGCACTTCTTGAATTTCCATTGTTTCCATGCACCAGAACTTTTCCATTCCTATTCAGTGCATCATCAATAAATTGTCTAACTTTTGGAAAGAAACAGATTATACTCTCAGTTGCTAGATCAGCAATATCAAGAGTCATGTATGTGAATGATGAATCAGTGAATTGTGGTTTTATGAATTGAGACTCCACATTTTCCCTAACACAAATAATGTGGGTAATTCCCTTTTCAGTCAGATTAATACGGCAGTGTTTCAAGGCAGCTTGGTATGGTCCGAGGTACAATCCAGGAATTATTTCCTGCATGCATCTCCACATGCTGTAAGTCCAAGTTGTGGTTTGTGGGAATGAAGGTATATTGTTATTCACAGAAGTCATATCAAGTATATCTGCCATCTGAAAGAGAATACCAGGAATTAGTTTTACTAGGTGACATGTGAGGTAGGTTAGTAACCAACTGGCGCCAATATTGAAATCTTTAAAATTCTTGAAGTAAGCAAGACACATAACATGCAATTCACATAAGTTAATAAAATCAACATAATTGTAAGCTTACAAGAATTGTTTCTAAAGAATTTAAAGAGGCATTTTTTTTTTGCTAAATCTACTAACCTTATCTTGTGGTATGATGGTGTTTGATTTCAGCATTATCCAGTCGTGGACGACTTGTCCACCTTTGACGAGACACTTACCCTAAATATATTCAATTTTTAGAACTCATTATAGGAAAAACTTATGGTCAGGGTTAAAAATAATAAGAGAAACTAAAAAGAAAAGCCAATCGCTCTTCAATCAACTCCGCTGTGCTAAACTTTGACAGATCGAGGTCCCATTTGACAGTCGGAAGTCGAGCGCAATGCTTGTCGCTAAGTGCGAAAACGCGCGAGATATGAATTCATATTTCCAATTGGAAATTATACATTCTCATTAATATGTTTATCATTTAATCGATATAAATATATTCTCTTCAATAATTGTATTACTTTATTTATTACTGAGCAATTTGATATCTGAATACACTCTAATTAGAATAACCATAATAAAATAACATTGTTTACTTAAACAAATATATTTCTTATTTTAGCAAACTAGTATTGTCTGTTCCATAACTATGATTATTATATCCATTGTTTAACTGCTAGTATAACTTTTGAAATACAAAGAAAAGTAAATCTTCAGATAAACTGTGGAAACAAATACTATAATTAAATATTATCCTTGATACTGTATCAACTACCAATACATCAATGCTTCATTTATTTACAAACTCATCGATAAAATGATTAGTTGTTCAAGTTGTAACAATATAAATACTATTGATCTTTCTCTGAAAAGTGTTTGTTGAAATAGATAGTGTAGTTTTGGAAATAACAACACAGAAAGCGTGTATTAAATTGGTGTGAATTAAAAATGGAAGAAAGGTAAATATTTTCTGCAAAAAAAAATACTACATTTATAAACATGATGCTATTTTATTGCATGGATAATGGAAAACAAACTAATTTGCTTTTATTGCAGTTTAGCCGGAATTAAAATGCATACGAAATCGGAACCATCCTTCTTCAATTCCCACTTGATGTCAACAGTTACCTGAAAGGTTAACCAAATTATATTTACCATCACATTATACAATTATTTTCAGCCTACCCTTGGGTATTTCTTCAAGACAGGTAAAGTAGCCAAATAGCTGTAAGTTGATCCAGAACTAATTGGACATTCGATTCCGCTGTTTGAGCAGGCGTTATCATTTGGCAAGTCGAATGGAACTGGTACATCCATAACAACACCATGCACGACGGACTTTAATGCGTTCGAATTTTCGTCTGAAATTTGAGCGAACAATGGTTGTCAATACATTCACTTAGAAAGCGTTATTCCAAAAGTACTTACTCGCAACGAATTCAATATCCACAGTGGCGTTAGTATTTCTCTTCAAGATACATCTTGACATATCTTTGTTACATCCACTAACGGAGACTTTGTTTACAGAACCTATCGCTGACCCTAGAACAAGCAGATAAGCATATATTGTAATCAGAAACTACTTCCAGTATCATCAAATTTCGGTTAAAGTTCATCGAAAGTTTATTTTACGTCAATAAGAAAAATAAAACTATGTAATAAGTTTTTTTTTTGCTTTGTTGTAATTCGAGTTACAGCAAGTCCGCATATTATAAATAATAACGCACTTTCTGAAGCGTTAACTGCGCAATTACAATACGTTTTGTGCAACAACTTACCACAATCTTTATAATTGACTTCGTCGCAGAATCCCAATTGAGCGATGGCCAAAATGGCAAATACCAAGTAAGCGGATGAGTTCATGCTGAAGTTTCTGTTATCTTCTCTTAACAATTAATTAAGACAGTGAGTGTCGCTGGTGGTAAGTACTACTGGACAGTGAAACGTAACGAGATTATACGTTCCTGAAAACGTCAGTAATCTTCGGCTGGTCAGCAAGCTTATGAGAAAATTGGCCCAGCAGCGAATGTTGTATAACGAAGACAGAGCGTCGTTGTACAAACATCTATGATAATGCGAGCATTCGGGTGGGGGTTTAAGTACATATACAGCACATAATATACAATGATTACATACACACAAATACAGAAGAGGACATTTTCGAACAAACAGGATATGAGATTGATAATCATAAATGCATTGTTCAAACACGCATCTCTAACAAAGCTATTCGATAATTGCAAGTTAACAATCCCCAGATAATAACTCAATATTGTTTAAACTCTCTTAGTTGTGTTCTAATTGCAAATTGATGTTCGAAAGGTCTATTTTAAAAAATACTAAACCAACAAAGAAGTATATATTACCATAATATTATTTATGCATATTTTTTAGAAAACAATTTTGCACAAAAAACTGAAGGACTTACGATTAGCCCCTTCCTCACAATGATAAAAAAATGTCAAGAAGTACTGATAAATAAAATAAAATATATTTAACAATTTTGCAACATAATTGCATAATTATTAAGGAAAGCTTCCTTAATAATTCTATAATTTAATATTTTATAATTTATTTTAAATGCAAATTGAATAAAACGATTATTTATCATACATTTAAAATTTACAAATTATTTCTAATTTTAAGTTGATAATCTATGTACAAAAGAAACTTTTTGAACATAATTCAAATAACTATATTTTCCACTATAACCAAATAAACGAATAATATCTAAAACGATGTGAACAATATAGCAAGGTACTCCCAGGAGAGATGTAACAATTTTACCAAGAAAAATATTCGAACAATCAGTTTACTTTTCTACCTGGATTTGTCCCGCATTATTTTTTTCTAAAAATAAATAATCCGTCTCTAGAATTTCCAAAGATAAACATTAGGAATAATCTTGTCAAGTAAACTATCTTTTAACTGGACAAAAAGACAATGATTGATAGCCATTTGGCTATATTAAAACAATCAAGAATGTATTTCAACTATATAATTTTAATTGAAACAATATATAAGATAACAACATAAAATATGTATATAATTATAGTAAAGGAAAAATAATTAACTATTGACCATTGGCCTTTCAAACAGTTTTATAATGGACAACACAAATATTTATCATGTCCATATTCATTGTCAATAATACACAATGACGCTAGAAATCTCATTACACTTTCTTTTATAAGGCTTTATCTATTTGCAATTGCGCATAAATTAGGAAAATAATCAATACTCGCAAATAACATTATGTAATCTAGTTCGTGTATTATACTTCAGACATATTTAATGTCAGATATATAGATGCATTTTTGTTCATTTTTTTAATAATTATTCTATCTATATTATATATTCAGTCATTATAGCAACTATTGTTTATTATTTTATAATATGCATATTAAAATGTAATTAGGTAAAAGTTTTATGCAGTTGAATCAATGCTGTTTGATTATGATATGCAACCAAATATACAAATCAAGATAATATTGCATAAATGCATTCATATAGAGATTATATCCTATTGAAGTACTTATAGATAATTATTTAAGTATTCTATACTATATACAAGTATATTTTATAAAAATGTATAACTATTTGGTACATGT